GCCCTTGGACGGGTCGCGGCTGAGCGTGTACATGGAGATGTCCGTGGAGGCGAAGCCCGGGCCCCCGGCGCCGCCGGGAGACGCGTCCCGCGACGGCGACGGCTCGCTGGAGCGGGAGCTAGAGCGGGAGCGGCGGCGGTAGCGGAAGCGGTAACTGGGCAGACGGAGGATGGCCGAGGGGCCGCTCCCGCCACTGCCGCCCGCGCCCCCGCCGGCCTTGAGCAGGTCCGAGCGAGACTGGCAGTGCGCCTCGCGGCTGCGCTCGATGTAGATGTTGACGGCCAGCACGCCGATCACCTCGGCCAGGATGAACGACAGCCCGCCGAAGTAGAAGGACCAGCCGTACGAGTAGTGGTTCTTCTTCTCCTCGTCCCGCTTCGGGCCCGGCTCGCCCGCGTTGGCCGAGATGTACACGATCACGCCGATGATGTTGCTCAGGCCTGGGCGGGGACGTCAGACGGGAGCCTCGAGGCCACCCCCGGCCCCGCCCCCGGCCCCGCCCCGCGGTCCCGCGCGGCCCCCCGGCTGGCCTAAGCTCCACCCCCAGATGGCCCAGGCCCCGCACCTTGCTGGTTTAAGCTCCACCCCCAGGTGGCCTAGGCCCCGCCCCCGGGTGGTCCAAGTCTTGTCCCAGATGGTCTAAACTCCTCCCAGGCTGTCCCTGGGCCCTGCCCTGCGCTGGCCTAAACTCCACCCCTAGATGGCCTAGGCACCGCCCCTTGCTGGTTTAAGCTCCACCCCCAGGTGGTCTAGGCCCCGCCTCGCGCTGGTATAACCTCCAGCCCCAGATAGCTTAGGCCCCGCCCCAAAGGGTCCAGACACCACCTCGGATGATCCAGGTCCCAGGTGGTCTAAACTCCTCTCCAGATGCCAGGCCTGCCCCATCTGGTCTAGGCCCCACCCCCAGATGACCAAAGCCTCACTGTCAGCTAGCCCAGGCCCCACCTCCACGGCTCTAGTCTCAACCCCACCCCAGCCGGCCCAGGCCCTGCCCTGGCTGGTCTAAACTCCGCCCTTAACGTTATGAACCTGGGTCTCCCATAGGCCCCAGCCTCTATTCGTTTAAACTGTTAATAAGGATATCTGGCTCTGACTCTCTAGGCCCTGACCCCTGCTGATCTAAACTCTTCCTTTTATGATACCATCCCAGCCCGGTTATCTATTCCGAGCCCTTCCCCTGTTAGTCTAAAATTCGCCTTTATTAGAGCAGGTCCCCCTCTACTCTAAGCCCCCCTCCGGCTTGCCAAATCCCCCCGCCCCCGACGGGTCTAGGCCAAGCTCCTCCCCCAGTCCCAGGTCTAGCCAGCACAGCCCCCTGCAAATCTTGACCCATCCCCAAAGCGCCCCCTGCTCTTTATGCTAAATCCTCCCTCTTCTCCTCTGGATTCCACCCTTTTGAAAAAGCTCTGCCCCCTGGAATTTCCCAGCATTACTCATTTCGGGTAGAAAGGGGGTCTTGCTCCTTCAGGACATGCCTCACTCGGAGTTGGTCTGGATGGTTTCCCAAGACCAGCCTCTTCTTGGATCCACCAGGGTCCACGAGGCCCCGCCCCTTAGGGCAGGCTCCTCCCCATCTGCATCCGATTCACCTTCTCCCTCTCAGGCCCGGTCCTCTATGCCAGCCCCGCCTCTCTATCTTCATAGACCCCAATTCTGTCTCAAAGCCCCACCCCTTCACCCAAGCTCCTCCCCTTCCGTCTCCAGAACCGCGGGTTTTGGAACCTAAACTCCCTGCATCTTAGTTACGCGCTAGACACCTGTCAGTGATGGGTTCACTCCCCCGAAGACGGCGCGAAGGCGACACCTACCTTGCCCAGCGGGTGGCGATGGAGCTTGGGAAGAGCCTAGGAAGGCTCCGGGCCCCAGGGGGCGCCCGGGGCAGGGTCGCTTTGCATACACGCGCGCGCGTACACACACGTGCGCGCGCGCAGGTTGGCCGCCCGGGCCAGCCACCCCCTCCCTCTGCCTCTCACCTGCTGCCACGAACAGGATCCCTGCGCCCAGAATGATGTTCCTCTTGGACTTGTAGACCCGGGAGGCCGCCACGCACACGCCCCCGAGCAGCAGCAGGATGGCGCTGAGGATGGGAAAGATGCTGGAGGCCCGGACGACTCCTGCGAGGGAGAAAGGAGAGGAGGGGGAGAGGCAGGGTGGTGGGACCCAGGGCGGTCAGACGCGGCCGCCTGCGACCCCCGCGTCCCGCGCCCCCTGCCTGCTTTCGTCTCTGCGTCTCTCTCGCTAGTTCTCCAATTCTCCCTCTCTGCCTGTCTTCTGGTTATTTTATTTTTTGCTTCCTTCTCTCTCTTTAAATTTTCTCTATTTCTTAGTCTGATCTACTCTCCCTCTTTTTCTTCGTCCCTTTCTTTCTTCCTCGGTCTATTTTTCTCTCCCAGCATTTTTTTTTTTTTCCTCTGAATCACTCTCCTCTTTTTCTCTGAACTTCTCCATTTCTCTGTGGACCCTCTCCCTTACTCCTTTTCCTTCTCGCACGCTCCCTCCCTTCTTCTCTTCTGCGCATTTCTTTCCTTTCTCCAGATCCCTCTTTCTATCAAATCTTTTAATCTGTCTCTCCACCAGACCCCCATTCTGCCTGGCTTCATCTACTTCTCTGAATTCCTCTCTCTCTCTCTCTTTCTCTCCCCCCCCTTCCCCCTCTGTCTCTTCCTTCCTCCTTCCTTCTCTCCTTCCTTCTCCCTCTCTCTCCCTCTCCCTCCCTCCCTCTCTCTCTCTCTGCCCCCCTCCCCCCTTCTGCCTGGCTTCTATCTCTCTGGGCTTCTCTTCTTTTCCTCTCTTCCTCTCTTCCTCTCTCTCTCTCTCTCTCTCTCTCTCTCTCTCTCGTCTCTTTCTCTCCCTCTCTCTGTTTGTCCCACTTTCTCTCTCTCTCTCTCTCTCTCTCTCTCTCTCT